ATTAAAGGAGGGTCCATCAGCAAGAAGGGAAGGTAAAGAGAGAGTAGTAGAACGAAGACGACGTTGGAGGTAAATTCTGAGTGCTTGTTGATAGAGAGGGCAGTCTAACAGAATGTGGCTAATCGATACTGGAACTTGACACTGCTCACAGAGAGGAACAGGGTGCCTCTCCATGAGATACCCATGAGTAAGACGAGTGTGACCAATGCGAAGGCGGGAGAGAGTGGTCTCCCAACCTCGGCACTGATGACAAGAAGACGGCCAGTAACCTATGCTCGGTTTAATAGAATGAAGTTTGTTACCGAGCAGAGTTGACCAACGTTGTTGCCAACGGGATTATTTATACAATTATTACAATATTACAGTAGTCTGCATAACAGTAAATCTTCTATTTTTTGTTTGAATAAAAATTCAAAATAGAAAGTAAGCATAATATCAGAGGGGCTTGGAGACATGACTGATGAACAAAGAAAATGTTATTTTAGAGCCAGGAATGTCTGCATTGTTCATTCCGGACCCTATTTTGAAATTGTCATATTTTTTAATTTTCATGAAATTGGCCAAATTGCAAATTTCTGACCACGTTATTGGGTAGTTGAAATCGGTAAATGGGCAGTTACTTGTACTCAATCGATAGAAAAAAATGGAGTTCTAAAGAAATAGCTACGAGTTTGGTCGACTGGAACAATGGAATTAGCCGAAAGTATGGCTCAAAATGGGCGAAATCGCCGATTCGTAAATATCACCGAGGTCACTAACTTCGCGAGAGCATAATTCCGTCAGTTTTCCATCAAATTTCGTTCTTTTGGTGTCATTACAATCGGGAAAAGATTTTCTATCATTTCATTAGAAATTTTTTTTTTTTATGGGAAATTTTGTGACACCAGGAGACACTTCAGGATTTGGGGTTGCAACAGTCAAGGGGTTAAATATATAAGAATTCATACCAGAGAGAAACTGTCAGTGTTTACAATGTCTACAAGACTTTAGAGGAAAAAGTCAATAACATGAATATTCCTACTAGAGATCAATCATATTAGTATTCAGTGTCTAAAAGATTTTGCACGAAAAATGCAGTAACATATAGGAGAATTCACACTTTAAAGAAACATACAGTACTAGTGTTCAGTGCATATAGTAAGATATTTTTTTGCAGATGTATTAATAAAACAAGTGAGAACCAATCTGTTTTAATAAAATATATCAGAGTAAAGGTTGGAGGCAGGGGGTAAAGGAGGCTTTGTGAGCGAGGGGCTTTCACTTCCAGCAAGAGTGCGTAAGCGTGTTAGATATGAATGAATGGAGATGAATGGTTTTTGGGACCTGATGAGCTGTTGGTGTGAAAGCAGGGTAATATTTAGTGAAGGGATTCGGGGAAACTGGTTATTTCTATATAGCTGGACTTGAGCACTGGAAATGGGAAGTACAATGCCTGCACTTTAAAGGAGGAGTTTGGGATATTGGCAGTTTGGAGGGATATGTTATATATGTTTATACTATATGCTTCTAAACTGTTGTATCAGGGCACCTCTGTAAAAACAGTGATTATGTATGAGTGAGATGAGCGAGATGAAAGTGTTTTCTTTTGGGGGATTCTCTTTCTTTTTGGGTCACCCTACCTCGGTGGGAGACAACCAACTTGTTGGGGGAAAAAAAAAATTGAAGTTCATACTGGACAGGAGCCATATCAGTTTTCCAAGCTTCCAAAAGACTTTGGAGCAGCTCAATAATGCACATTAGAAATGATACTGAAGAGAAACCACATCAGTGTCCAATAGATTTACAAAAAAAAAAACACACAAATGAAAGGTTACTAACATGTAATAATTAAAGTCTTTCAATAAAACCAATTTTTTTTATGTATTTATTTATTTAAGATTTAATAAAAATTTCCACAAACTTATCCTTATAAAAAATGCCATTTAATAACCTAGGCACCTTATGTAGTATTGTAAAACAAAAGTCAGCTTCCTCATCTACATATAATTCATACAGGGATTCTGTTTGGGTGGCAAGGATTCATGCAACATACAGTGCTATGTTCCTTGTGTCAAATATTCCAAACAATAATTAACAAGAGTTACTTTACCAACAAAAGTAAGCTCTTCATATAATGAACCTCTATAAAGAGAGATTTTTGAAATACCTGGCAGCACTGTATGACCCTTACAGATTTAGTGCTTGGTTATGATTATTATAATAATAATTGCTGAAATACAGGACAAAATCTGCTGGATCATTTGATTTAGAAACAACTGACAAAGTCTGGTGGCTGCAGAATTGTTCATTATTATTACAATAGAGGCAAAACTATGTCTCTTTCTATCTATCACAATTGCCATTACTGGCCATCTGTTCCTCCCCTTCATAGTCCATTATATGGAGAGTTTACTGTATAACCAAAGATGTCTTTGGAAAGTAAATTTAAAAAAGAAATAATATTTATATACATAAATCTTCTCACCCATGTGAGTGTTTATATGTACTTAATTCTCTCTTCACAAAAATAATTTTTAAACATAAAATGTCTCTGATATATATTACTAATAAAATAATCTTGTATACATCTAAGAGGTTTCTGAAAGTAAAATCTTCGTACAGAAAATTAAAGAGCATATATACTGTATTTTAAGCTTTCCTCACTGTCCATCATATCAAAGATTTTCTCAGGCTATTAACCCAACAGTTAATAACTCAGAAAAAAAAGAGGACAACTAAACAGGCTACTTTATTTTTGTTGGGGTCCATAGGTCCTCTATCAGAGAATGCAACCAACAAGTCAATTAACTCTGTGGCATCTAGTATGTACTTACTTCTAGGTGAACAGGAGGAGCAGATGTAAGGAAACTTGTCCATCTACCTGGTCTCGCCCAGGTACAAACCACCAAGCTAAAAGATATCCCAAGTATAGATCTCTCAGTAAAAGTACCTAGCACTCGCATCCAACCAGATACCTACCCCTAAGCCCTCAGTACTAAAGTTCCAGAGCTGCCCCTGCTAATGACTTTATTACACTTTTGCAGCTTTCCTGTGTTACAGCATTACTATCTCTGCATAATTATTACTGTCTTGAAACTGGGTAAAATATTATAAATATAAATATTAACTGGTAATTCTAATACTGTATTATGTTAAAATAATTAAACACCAAAATTCAGTTATAAAATTTAACATTTCTATAGCTCAAGCACAATCTTCAACAACAAAGATGACCGAGTAGCTAAGCCTTTAGCAAAGTTTCCGAGTATGATAATACACTCCAAGAAGGAAAGCTTATGAAGAAACAAGAAATCATCACTGATGTGGAACATTAGGGTAAAGACCATCAGAGTTTACATGATTTATCTGTGACATGTTCTAAGAATTCTCCTACTTTTTGACTGCCTGATCAACCAGGTGATTGTTGTCTACAGCCTGTATGATTGCACACATCACAAGGCTAATCCAGCATACCCCTCCTAAATACATTTACTTTCCTTCCTCCCATAGAAATTTTTATTTTTCCTGATGAGAAGCTGAACAGTCCTGGCCTCTGATGTCCAAGTCTTCTTTAGGTGTACTCACACCACTACTACTTTACTTGATGTTATTCTACATCTATTGTGTCCCAATGGAAATAGGATACATTTTCCCTATTCTGTTATCCTAAATTAAACCTATATACATTATGATTAAAACATCTGTGTGCCCTCAGAAATACCACAAATTTGTAGATTTTTGCTGACTACAGCTAATACTGTCTTTTTTCCCTACAAAATTATTATTTAGTTTGCATATTAAGAATCTGAACAAAGTATTAAAAGTAAATCATTTCATTATTCAATATAGACCAACAATACCTGATGAAAATAAGAAAAGTATGATGATTATTTTTACAGGAAACTTTAAAGTCCAGTAAACCCTTTTCATAACATGAGTTACAATCTTTAAAATTGGTGTGTAATGTAATATAGCAATATGTGAAATGAAGAACATATAGGAATAATAAGAGTAATTTTCTATACACCTTTCCAGTAAAAATTCTGCAGCATTACCAGTAACATGGAATTGTTTGAGTAATTCCTAGAGTGTTAACTATTTATCTTGAAGCTCTTCTTCCTCATCTTTTTATTTGCCTCTCTCAACTATTAATCAAACTCTTACAGTAATTCTTCTGCAGAAGGTTCTTAGTCAAAATCTTTTAATGATTCAGTTAAGTCTTCTCCTTGCCTTTCTTCAAAACCCTCAGTTTTCACTGTCCTTGTCATGGCACAAGTTCCAGGACCTGAATCCTTACTGAGGAAAAAGCAGAATTCTTTACCACAGAAGGTGATAATGGACCTAGTCTGCATTTGTGATTGATTGGGACTTTTTATCCCATGACTCTTCAATGTTAAATTTAAACCAGAGCTCTGGCATGCCAATCTTGAAGTTGTTGTCCACCACAACATTCATCCTCCAATACATTTTTGATGTCATACTGGGTGGTAGAAACACAGCCATCACATCTCATGTCCTTAACTCGGCCATGAAAATTGCATGCTGTGAATTGGCATAACACAAAGTACATTTTTCTTAATGATTTATTTTGAAAATTATGGATACATTCAAGGAAGACCTTGGGAAAAATCAATAATCCTAGCAAATGAATAAATGAGAAAGTGATCGTGAGGAAGGAAGAGAGAGGAGAGCTACAAACTGAGAAGTGCTAGAGGTATGGAAAACTAAGAGACCACTCTCTTCGGGTCAGCTTCAAACAAAACAGAGAAGAGAGCTAGGGCTCCCTCACTCAGAGAAAGCACATTGTGGAGCAATAAATATAAATGTGAACCCTTTGTAATAAATTTGTAGAATGTAATGATGAACAAGTACTGTACAGAGCAGCATAATCTGAGACACTATATATAATTATATAAACTGCAAAATTATCTAAAAATTTACCTCAATAAATTTAATGATTTAGTGTATATATATATATATATATATATATATATTATATATATATATATATATATATATATATATATATATATAATAATATATTGTACAATGTCCAGCCTTTATACAAATGTACATGTCAAGTGAAGACCTTAAAAAAATCAATACGAATGCTTTATCAGCACACAGATGTCTAAAATAATAAACACAGAAAGAATCTGATCAGCGGAAATATGAACTTGCCTTACAATTAAGTTCTTATATTAACCTAATATTTTTCCCAATTTTCTCTTGTTTTCAACATTTTAAGATCGTTCTGCCCAGGTCCCAAAGGTGACGCTTGGTTTCGGAGGTGGTGTAGACATGCGAGTGGAAGAAGGTGACACAGATGCTGAAACCGGTAGTGTGTAATCTACAATACCATAAGCCTCATGAAGTTGATCCAGTAGAGCCTTCTTTTCCTCTGGTGGCAGGAAGGAATGGAGTGCTGCTTGGAAATTCTGCAAAAATGTAATTACTTCACATTATTTCAAAAGCATTATATAGATATTGATATATCACTTTCACTGACAAGAAGATTGCACAACAATTCAAAGGCTGATTTTCCTCTATGTAAAAGCATGAAATTTTCAACAACAAAATCTATGTGGAACACTTTGATAAAGCTTCAAGCAAATTTTTTACAAGATCAAGAATGAATCTCCCTGAAGAAGCTATGACAGTAATATAGTAAAAAGAACACTAAACATGTTAAAGATTCACAGTGGCACCTTTAAATTCATATTATTTTTTCACATTCTGGAGCAACACAGTCATCCACACCCAGATCATCTACAGCAGTATATAAGCCACTTCACGGACTATGTAAAAAATGTTCCAAATGAGTTGTAAGAAACTTTATTACTCACTCCTACTTAACTTTCATAGCTCAGGTCTTATTCACTATCACTAATAAACACACACACATCTACCCATCCTCATGACCCTCTCCTCTTACAATTACATTTTACAATTAATACACTAGTCGCTATCTTTTTTTCACAACCTTAGTAGTCTCTTCATTTTCGCATTTCTAACATTTTCACACACTATAACTCTGTGTGGCCATCCGTCCTTCAACTCTACATACTCCTTTGTTCTACCTTACTCATGGACTTACTCATGCTCTATTTTTTTTTTGTTTATGCCACATCAGTGTTACACATCTGAATACAAGGGCTGGCCCAATTCCTTCAAAATTCTTGATACATGCATTCCTATCATGTTCTAAGCAGAGCCATTGCACTGACATACTGCCTAGTTTACCTGGCTCCTCTCAACCATGTTTACACAAATGCCTCATCACACTCTACCAATATTTAAATTTATCAATAGTTTCCAACAATTCTTCAGTCACTCTAATTTCCCATGGTCTCTTAGGCTCCATAACCAATACTCTACTTTTATTTACATCTGAGTATGAGTCTTTTTTCACACTTTTTTCTTTCAACACACTGGCCGTATCACACCAAAGCAGGGTGGCCCAAAAAGAAAAACAAAAAGTTTCTCGTTATAAATTTAGTAACGTATACAGGAGAAGGGGTTACTAGCCTCTTGCTCCCGGCATTTTAATCGCCTCTTACGACATGCATGGCTTATGGAGGAAGAATTCTGTTCCACTTCCCCATGAAGAGAAGAGGAAATAAACAAGAACTAGTAACAAAATAAAAGAAAACCCAGAGGGGTGTGTATACATATGCTTGTACATGCAAGTGTAGTGTGACCTAAGTGTAAGTAGAAGCAGCAAGATATACCTGAAATCTTGCATGTTTATGAGACAGAAAAAAGACATAAGCAATCCTACCATCATGTAAAACAATTATAGGCTTCCATTTTACACTCGCTTGGCAGGACAGTAGTACCTCCCTGGGTGGTTGCTGTCTACCAACCTACTACCTAGGTCTTTTTCACACATCACAATAAAACTTCCTGCTAATCCACTCTTACCTTTTTCATTCTCTACTAGAAGAACTACTTTACTGCATACAACAAATTTTGATATTTTGTACTCAACCACTTCAAGTTCACCCCTTCACTAATATTCTTATGAATTTACACGGTGATTTATGTGGTACTGTACATCAAATAATCATGGAGACCTTCATATTAAGCTAAATTCATGTGGGCCATTCAGACCAGGGAATGATTATTTATCTATTAATATTATATTGTGTGTGTAAAGGTAGAAAGTTGAAAGTGAACATAGAAAAGAGTAAGGTGATGAGGGTATCAAATGATTTAGATAAAGAAAAATTGGATATCAAATTGGGGAGGAGGAGTATGGAAGAAGTGAATGCTTTCAGATACTTGGGAGTTGGATGGATTTATGAAGGATGGATTTATGAAGGATGAGGTTAATCATAGAATTGATGAGGAAGAAAAGGTGAGTGATGCGTTGAGGTATATGTGGAGTCAAAAAACGTTATCTATGGAGGCAAAGAAGGGAATGTATGAAAGTATAGTAGTACCAACACTCTTATATGGATGTGAAACTTGGGTGGTAAATACAGCAGCGAGGAGACGGCTGGAGGCAGTGGAGATGTCCTGTCTAAGGGCAATGTGTGGTTTAAATATTATGCAGAAAATTCAGAGTGTGGAAATTAGGAAAAGGTGTGGAGTTAATAAAAGTATTAGTCAGAGGGCAGAAGAGGGGTTGTTGAGGTGGTTTGGTCATTTAGAGAGAATGGATCAAAGTAGAATGACATGGAAAGCATATAAATCTATAGGGGAAGGAAGGCGGGGTAGGGGTCGTCCTCGAAAGGGTTGGAGAGAGGGGCTAAAGGAGGTTTTGTGGGTGAGGGGCTTGGACTTCCAGCAAGCGTGCATGAGCCTGACGATCTGTTGGAGTGTGAGCAGGGTAATATTTAGCGAAGGGATTCAGGGAAACCGGTTATTTTCATATAGTCGGACTTGAGTCCTGGAAATGGGAAGTACAATGCCTGCACTTTAAATTAGGGGTTTGAGATATTGGCAGTTTGGAGGGATATGTTGTGTATCTTTATACGTACATGCTTCTAAACTGTTGTATTCTGAGCACCTCTGCAAAAACAGTGATAGTGTGTGGGTGTGGTGAAAGTGTTGAATGATGATGAAAGTATTTTCTTTTTGGGGATTTTCTTTCTTTTTTGGGTCACCCTGCCTCGGTGGGAGACGGCCGACTTGTTGAAAAAAAAAAAAAAATTATTTTTATTAACACACTGGCTGATTCCCACCAAGGCAGGGTGGCCTGAAAAAGAAAAACTTTCACCATCATTCACTCCATCACTGTCTTGCCAGAAGGATGCTTTACACTACAGTTTTTAAACTGCAACATTAACACCCCTCCTTCAGAGTGCAGGCACTGTACTTCCCATCTCCAGGACTCAAGTCCGGCCTGCAGGTTTCCCTGAATCCCTTCATAAATGTTACTTTGCTCACACTCCAACAGCACGTCAAGTATTAAAAACCATTTGTCTCCATTCACTCCTATCGAACACGCTCACGCATGCCTGCTGGAAGTCCAAGCCCCTCGCACACAAAACCTCCTTTACCCCCTCCCTCCAACCTTTCCTAGGCTGACCCCTACCCTGCCTTCCTTCCATTACAGACACATACACTCTTGAAGTCATTCTGTTTTGCTCCATTCTCTCTACATGCCCAAACCACCTCAACAACCCTTCCTCAGCCCTCTGGACAACAGTTTTGGTAATCCCGCACCTCCTCCTAACTTCCAAACTACGAATTCTCTGCATTATATTCACACCACACATTGCCCTCAGACATGACATCTCCACTGCCTCCAGCCTTCTCCTCGCTGCAACATTCATCACCCATGCTTCATACCCATATAAGAGCGCTGGTAAAACTATACTCTCATACATTCCCCTCTTTGCCTCCAAGGACAAAGTTCTTTGCCTCCACAGACCCCTAAGTGCACCGCTCACCCTTTTCCCCCTCATCAATTCTATGATTCACCTCATCTTTCAAAGACCCATCCGCTGACACATCCACTCCCAAATATCTGAATACATTCACCTCCTCCACACTCTCTCCCTCCAATCTGATATCCAATCTTTCATCACCTAATCTTTTTGTTATCCTCATAACCTTACTCTTTCCTGTATTCACTTTTAATTTTCTTCTTTTGCACACCCTACCAAATTCATCCACCAATCTCTGCAACTTCTCTTCAGAATCTCCCACGAGCACAGTGTCATCAGCAAAGAGCAACTGTGACAACTCCCACTTTATGTGCGATTCTTTATCTTTTAACTCCACGCCTCTTGCCAAGACCCTCGCATTTGCTTCTCTTACAACCCCATCTATAAATATATTAAACAACCATGGTGACATCACACATCCTTGTCTAAGGCCTACTTTTACTGGGAAATAATCTCCCTCTTTCCTACATACTCTAACTTGAGCCTCACTATCCTCGTAAAAACTCTTCACTGCTTTCAGTAACCTACCTCCTACACCATACACCTGCAACATCTGCCACATTGCCCCCCTATCCACCCTGTCATACGCCTTTTCCAAACCCATAAATGCCACAAAAACCTCTTTAGCCTTATCTAAATACTGTTCACTTATATGTTTCACTGTAAACACCTGGTCCACACACCCCCTACCTTTCCTAAAGCCTCCTTGTTCATCTGCTATCCTATTCTCCGTCTTACTCTTAATTCTTTCAATAATAACTACCATACACTTTACCAGGTATACTCAACAGACTTATCCCCCTATAATTTTTGCACTCTCTTTTGTCCCCTTTGCCTTTATACAAAAGAACTATGCATGCTCTCTGCCAATCCCTAGGTACTTTACCCTCTTCCATACATTTATTAAATAACTGCACCAACCACTCCAAAACTAAATCCCCACCTGCTTTTAACATTTCTATCTTTATCCCATCAATCCCGGCTGCCTTACCCCCTTTCATTTTACCTACTGCTTCACGAACTTCCCCCACACTCACAACTGGTTCTTCCTCACTCCTACAAGATGTTATTCCTCCTTGCCCTATACACGAAATCACAGCTTCCCTATCTTCATCAACATTTAACAATTCCTCAAAATATTCCCTCCATCTTCCCAATACCTCTAACTCTCCATTTAATAGCTCTCCTCTCCTATTTTTAACTGTCAAATCCATTTGTTCTCTAGGCTTCCCTAACTTGTTAATCTCACTCCAAAACTTTCTTATTTTCAACAAAATTTATTGATAACATCTCACCCACTCTCTCATTTGCTCTCTTTTTACATTGCTTCACCACTCTCTTAACCTCTCTCTTTTTCTCCATATACTCTTCCCTCCTTGCATCACTTCTACTTTGTAAAAACTTCTCATATGCTAACTTTTCTCCCTTACTACTCTCTTTACATCATCATTTCACCAATCGCTCCTCTTGCCTCCCGCACCCACTTTCCTGTAACCACAAACTTCTGCTGAACACACTAACATTACATTTTTAAACCTACCCCATACCTCTTCGACCCCATTGCCTATGCTCTCATTAGCCCATCAATCCTCCAATAGCTGTTTATATCTTACCCTAACTGCCTCCTCTTTTAGTTTATAAACCTTCACCTCTCTCTTCCCTGATGCTTCTATTCTCCTTGTATCCCATCTACCTTTTACTCTCAGTGTAGCTACAACTAAAAAATGATCTGATATATCTGTGGTCCCTCTATAAACATGTACATCCTGAAGTCTACTCAACAGTCTTTTATCTACCAATACATAATCCAAGAAACTACTGTCATTTTGCCCTACATCATATCTTGTATACTTATTTATCCTCTTTTTCTTAAAATATGTATTACCTATAATGAAACCCCTTTCTATACAAAGTTCAATCAAAGGGCTTCCATTATCATTTACATCTGGCACCACAAACTTACCTACCACACCCTCTCTAAAAGTTTCTCCTACTTTAGCATTCAGGTCCCCTACCACAATTACTCTCTCACTTGGTTCAAAGGTTCCTATACATTCACTTAACATCTCCCAAAATCTCTCTCTCTCCTCTACATTCCTCTCTTCTCCAGGTGCATACACGCTTATTATGACCCACTTTTCGCATCCAACCTTTACTTTAATCCACATAATTCTTGAATTTACACATTCATATTCTCTTTTCTCCTTCCATAACTGATCCTTCAACATTACTGCTACCCCTTCCTTAGCTCTAACTCTCTCAGATACTCCAGATTTAATCCCATTTATTTCCCCCCACCGAAACTCCCCTACCCCCTTCAGCTTTGTTTCGCTTAGGGCCAGGACATCCAACTTCTTTTCATTCATAACATCAGCAATCATCTGTTTCTTGTCATCTGTGCTACATCCACGCACATTCAGTTAGTTAGTTAGTTTAATATGTTTATTATGCACCCCATACCCATCCTGTGGGCGGTAGTCAAAAGATTACAGAGGAACATAATTGGTCCAGGGACTGGACTCCAAAGTTCAAGCATCCCAGTTTTATAAAGTTTTTCTTCTCTTTTTTTAGTAAATGTCCACAGGAGAAGGGGTTACTAGCCCATCACTCCCAGCATTTTAGTCGCCTCATACGACACGCATGGCTTACGGAGGAAAGATTCTTTTCCACTTCCCCATGGACAATAGAAGAAATAAAGAAGAGCAAGAGCTATTTAGAAAAAAAGAGAAAAACCTAGATGTATGTATATATATATGCATGTGCATGTCTGTGAAGTGTGACCAAAGTGTAAGTAGGAGTAGCAAGATATCCCTGTTATCTAGCGTGTTTATGAGACAGAAAAACAAACCAGCAATCCTACCATCATGCAAAAGAGTTACAGGTTTCTGTTTCACAGTCATCTATCAGGACGGTAGTACTTCCCTGGGTGGTTGCTGTCTACCAACCTACTACCTATACCAGGGAATGATGACAGGCTTAATCCTTCATCCCCTAATAATGAGATGGATAACCTTCACCTTCAAGCATCATAACATTGTATCAATCGCATCTGCTAGAAAAATGACAGGATGGATAATGAGAACCTTCAAAACTAGGGATGCCAAGCCCATGATGACACTCTTCAGGTCGCTTGTTCTATCTAGGCTGGAATATTGCTGCACACTAACAGCACCTTTCAAGGCAGGTGAAATTGCTGACCTAGAAAATGTACAGAGAACCTTCAAGGCGCACATAACGAAGATAAAACACCTCAATTACTGGGAGCGCTTGAAGTTCCTGAACCTGTACTCCCTGGAATGCAGGCGGGAGAGATACATGATTATATACACCTGGAAAATCCTAGAGGGACTAGTACCGAACTTGCACATGAAAATCACTCACAACGAAGGCAAACCACTCGGCAGGCGATGCAACATCCCCCAATGAAAATACCTTTGTAACTTGTCATGATTGTGACCAGACCTACCTGGAGTTCATTATCTTTGTAAATTGTGAGTTCATTACTTCTGTAACTTGCTCAGCTATCAAAACTTTGGAGTCCAGTCCCTGGACCAATTATGTACCTCTGTAACCTTTGTAATCTTTTTTGACAAAAAATATAGAGATAAATGGTATAAAATCCTACCATGATGAATAAGCAGACACAAATGGAGTATAATGTGATCCTTGATTGACATTTCACCCACACACTGGGCAAAACATAGTCAAGTAAGGATTGCATTATACTGCATATGTGTCTACTTTTCCAGTTAAAAACTATTCCTTACTGAGAATATATCCTAATTAGTTTTGGAAATAGGTTTTCTTAAAGAATAACAAACATTAAAATGCAACTTCAAAACAACATAGCATACAAGACGAGTAAAGTGTGCCTCGGTGAAACCCCAGTCAGCGAGGAGCTTGTATTCATCCCTCAACTGCGTGTTGGTAATGGTTGGGTCATCGGTGTTGATGCTGAAGCTGGCTTCATCCTCAGCAAACCTGACAAAATTTATGAAAACCAAATAAAATTTTAGTACACTTCAGATTGAGCCATCATTGAAAGTAATTTAAGTTAATTTATACTTTACCCACAGCCCTTTTCACTGCTCTATCCTATACTGGTCCTCCTCCTCATTGTTTATGCCACTCTCTCTTTTGTCTGCTCAGGTTATATAAAACAAACTTTCTTCTCATCCATACACCTATAGTAATTCACAGTAAGTGTATTATCATTTTCTGGATGAATTTCAGTCAGAGATTATAAAATATTAGGCAATATGAGCCATATTAATATCAAGAAAGCCATCTGATGTGAATTTGCTCACTTTCTGAGAGTTATTTATGGCAGGATCCAAATGAATCTGGCAGCTCCCTAGTTTGACCCTAGTATATTTTCTTCTAATATGGGAACACTTACATTCATGACTTTCACTTGATTCCCAAATTAGGATAATACAGTGGTACCTCGGGATACGAACTTAATTCATTCCAGAAGGCTGTTTGAGTACTGATACCAAACGAATTTGTTCCCGTAAGGAATAACGTAAACTAGATTAATCCATTTCAGACCCCCAAAAATACAATTACAAAAGCACTTACATAATACACTTACATAATTGTTTGAGTTTTGAGCTGTTCGTATCCTGAGGTACCACTGTATATTTATTTTCTTTTTTTAACATATCAGCTGTTTCCCACTGAGGCAGGGTGACCCAAAAAGAAAGAAAAACTCCAAAAGAAAGAAGAAACTTTCATCATGATTCAACACTTTCACCATCACTCATACACGATCGCTGTCTTTGCAGAGGCGCTCAGATACGACAGCTTCAACATCCCTTCAAACTGCCAACATCCCAAACCCCTCCTTTAAAGTGCAAGCATTTTATTTCCCATTCCCAGGATTCAAGTCTGGCTAACCGATTTTCCTGAATCCCTTCACAAAATATTACCCTGTTCACACTCCAACAGCTTGTCAGGTCCCAAAAACCATTTGTCTCCATTCATTCCTAACATGCTCACACATTCTTGCTGGAAGTCCAAGCCCCTCACCCACAAAACCTCCTTTACCCCCTCCCTCCAACCTTTTGAAGGCCGACCCCTACCCCGCCTTCCTTCCCCAACAGATTTATATGCTCTCCAAGTTCTAATTTGTTCCATTCTCTCTAAATGACCAAACCACCTCAACAACCCCTCTTCAGCCCTCTTATTAATACTTTTAGTAACTCCTCACCTCCTCCTAATTTCCACACTAAGGATTCTCTGCATATTTACACCACACATTGCCCTTAGACACGACATCTCCACTGCCCCCAGCTGCCTCCTCGCTGCAGCATATACAACCCATGCTTCACACCCATATAAAAGTGTTGATACCACTATACTCTCATACATTCCCTCCTTGAATAATGTTTTTTTGTCTTCACAGATACCTCAATGCAATTCTATGGTTAACCTCATCCTTCATAAACCCATCCGCTGACAAGTCAAACTCTCAAATATATGAAAAAAATTCACTTCTTCCATACTCCCTCCCTCCAATGTGATATCCAATTTTTCTTTATCTAAATCATCTGATACCCTCATCACCTTACTCTTATCTATGTTCACTTTCAACTCTCTACTTTTACACACCCTCAAATTATCAGTGATTATTCAATAACAGAAAACCATTACATTCTAGAATAAATGATTTAGCATATTTTTTGTAAATGTTGTACAGTAAAATTTTAGAACAGTGGTTCCCAAACTACGAGCTGCAGACCTCTGGAGTATATTTAGGAGGGATGAAGAATTAGGCACCGCTGAGTTATTCCAAGAGGTCCGTGAAGCTTCAGAGCAAATATTGGTCCTCGAGTCAGCACTTTGCTTTCTGAATTAACGAAGCCTAAATTTACAATTAATCAGCATTTGGGGGGTCTGCAAAGCTTTATGAGCTTACAAAATACACAGTCCATGTACTCAAAAAGATTGGGAGCCACTGATCAAAACAAAATGAAGTCTTTACCTGAGAACAGGGTGTCTCTTTGAGGAGGTGCCTAAGTGTTTTATTGATCCTGTTAAGTAAGATGAATGAGGACACACCTCAAAGTGAATGTTCTCTCTTAAGCACATTTGGTATATACTTTCATCTTCTACTACATGATAACCATGACCTATTCTCTCTGCACTGAAGACTTCAACAGCCTGAAAGATTAAAAAAAAAATTATAAATTAACCCTTAAACTGCCGAAGGGCCAAAAATAAAAGTGCCCTCGGTACTGGCGATTTAAAAAAAATAAAATAAACAATTATTTAATCTTGCCAAAACTTTCTTCCTTTTTGTAGAAGTGTAGCAAGACAATAATAAGTAAAATCAGAGTGGTACCTATGGAGATATGAAGATTTGAAGCAACCTATTTCATGCATTTTCTTACATTATGTCACCTCCATTTATTGTTCACTAATAATAAAGTTTTCAGGCTTCCACAATGACTTACATGCAATATTTTTTTATATATATTTCACATACCTAAGGCCCAGACCTGTTTTCTCCTAACCAGGCCAACTGAATCATTTTGGAGGCCCTAGAATTTTGCAGCAAATTTACACTAACAGTATTTTCCCAGTTGGCATAAATTTACATCATTGGAAGTTTAAGAATTATGTATTTTTTGTATCAACCATCTCCCACCAAGTTATGGGTAACCAAAAAGAAAAAAAATGGAAATTCATTATCATTCACTCATAGCTGTCTTGCCACAGGTGCATGAACATTACAATTCAAACAGCTCTATACACTACAAAATCTTCACCCATCCAACAGAGTGCAGGCAGAGTACTTCCCACTTCCAGGATACTAGTAATGCCAACTGGTTTTCCTGAATCTATAACTGTCACTCTGCTCACAATCCAGCAACATATCAACCCTAAAAACTACATCTTTCTACTCATTTCACTAACATTCTCACACATGTCTGCAAAACATTCAAGGATCTACACCTTTAAACCTCTATCACCCCCCCCCCCTCTAGCCCTCCCTGGGATAATTCCAATCCCCTTCCTTTCACCCTGGATTTCTACACCTAGTTCATCTTATTCTGCTCTATCTTTTGTAAATAACCAAACCATCTCAACCTCTCCTCTTCCTTCATAATTATATATTTCATGACCCTACAGTCTTCTAATTTCCACACTCCTACTGGTAACTCTGCATAATAATCACACCATATACTTATTTAAAACATGACATCTTCACTGCCTCTGGCCTCATCACTGTTATGCTTAGAGACCATGCCTTATATTCATATACTGGTAAAAGTGTTAGTACCACTACACTCTGGTACATATTCCTTTTTGCATTCAATGAGATTTTTTTTCTCCAGAGATGCCTCAACACTTAGCCTTGTCTTCAACAGAGTTTTCTGGTGACATCCACTCTCAAACATCTAAATATATTCACTTCTATACTCCCTCCCTCCAATCTGATGTTCAATCTCTCACTTGCTATTCTCATCATCTTGCTCTTATCTATGTTTACTTTTAATTTCTTATCTTTACAAACTCTACCAAACTCCTCAACCAACCCTTGCAACATCTTTCCAGAACCTCCTAAAAGTACTGTCAATGGTAAAGACCAACTGTGGCAATTCCCTCTTAATACTGTATCAGATTCCCTATCTTTTAATCCCACAACTCTAGTGCCATACCATTTATTTCCTTTACAACCTATCAATATACGTAAATATATTAAAACCAAGATAACATCCCAAATCCCTATCTAAGGCCTATTTTTACTGGAAAATAATTCCTTTCTCTCCTATAAACTTTAACATGAGCCCTTTCTGTATAAAAACTCATTACCTATTCCATACATTCCAATAGTAAATAATTAAATCAAATAAATACTGTAAATTATTAGTGATATATAATATTTATTCTGTTCAAAAAAAATATATAATTGCATTTGAAAAAAATAAGGAAAAATATAATGGAACTGAGTTACTTTTGATGAAGGAGCCAGTTGCCAGTCCAATGTTTCAACAACCTTGAGGAAGCCAGGAGGAAGAGAAATATAATTAAAACTAAACTTTCTTTCTATCAACACACTGGCCATATCACATCGAGGTGGGGTGGCCCAAAAGGAAAAATGAAAGTTTCTTCTTTTACATTTAGTAATATATACAGGAGATGGGATTACTAGCCCCGTGCTCCCGGCATTTTAGTCGCCACTTACGACATGCATGGCTTACAGAGGAAGAATTCTGTTACACTTCCCCATGGAAATAAGAGGAAATAAACAAGAACAAGAACTAGTAAGAAAATACAAGAAAACCCAGAGGGGTGTGTATATATATGCTTGCACATGCATATGTAGTGTGGCCTAAGTGTAAGTAGAAGTAACAAGACATATCTGAAATCTTGCATGTTTACGAGACAGAAAAAAGACACCAGCAATCCTTCCTTTCTTTCTTTCAACACACCGGCCGTATCCCATCGAGGCGGGGTGGCCCAAAAGGAAAAATGAAAGTTTCTCCTTTTACATTTAGTAATATATACAGGAGAAGGGGTTGCTAGCCCCTTGCTCCCGGCATTTTAGTCGCCTCTTACAACACGCATGGCTTACGGAGGAAGAATTCTGTTCCACTTCCCCATGGAGGTAAGAGGAAATAAACAAGAACAAGAACTAGAAAGAAAATAGAAGAAAACCCAAAGGGGTGTGTATATATATGCTTGTACATGTATGTGTAGTGTGACCTAAGTGTAAGTAGAAGTAGCAAGACATACCTGAAATCTTGCATGTGTATGAGACAGAAAAAAAAAGACACCAGCAATCCTACCATCATGTAAAACAATTACAGGCTTTCGTTTTACACTCGCTTGGCAGGACGGTAGTACCTCCCTGGGTGGTTGCTGTCTACCAACCTATTATCTAGATTAAAACCAAACTATATAGGAAAAATTAAAACTAAACTACATAGGAAAAAAAGGTCTTGAGTGGAGTCTTATCAAGAAAGCAGGATTGGGATGAGGGATGAGCCTGATTACCTCCCATTTCACAGGCACTGTATACACTTATGGGTTCAACACACAAAACCAGTCACAAGTATATTATGGGTACAAAAGGAAGATGCAAGATCTGTACTAGGAAAAATTCGGCATAACATGCTAAATGACAGGCTGCTATAAGAAGTGAATCAATGATAACTGAAGATTAAAAATGATGCCTCATGATCTTCACTGATTTGCCTTATTAAAGGCAAATCAGTGACAATTACAGTACCAGTTTGACACAAGCTGCAGGTCCAGCCTCTCCAGCATGAACTGTGCGATGTATCCCTTTCTCTTTGGCTGCCTCAAACACTGCTATATCCACTGGGTTTTTCATTGAAGACTCTTCTGAAATTTTTATATGTAAAACATTTTAACCTGGATTTAGGTCATACCATTCACAGCTATTACAGATAATGTACTGCACTGACTCATATTTATATCCATATTCCTGATTTATATAAAAAAATCTGTATTCATATTCACAATTCTATAAACAACTGATTATGATTTTATTGTATCATCACTGTTACCCTACTTCCAGCTTTCATGGGATGGGGAGGCATTTTCCCTCAGATCTAATATAGGAGAGCAATATAGTACTGTATAATAATGGAAGGTTCAAGATACACTGTTAAATATAGTCAAATTGACACCCATACATTTACTTTTCATTTTTATTATATTCTTTATAAATGTATATACAGTGGACCCACGCCTAACGAATACATCGCATAACATTAAATTCGCCTAACGATACATTTTAACGCTAACATTTTGCCTCGGCTAACACTAAAAAACTCACCTAACGATATTCGTTCTCAGGTACCAATTAATATCGTTCGGTGAGGGCCCACTGTACTGTATTACTAATATTCTTTATTTATCATTCGTAACTAATTATTGCTGTTCAGGATATTCCAGTCTTAATTCATATAACATTAATTTAAATCTATATTCATTATTAGCCCCCTTACCATTGAGAGAAGTGCACTCATCACCAGCAATATCAATACCAACAACTCCTTTGTCACGATATTCCTCGCATAAACGAAGAACATCCCAAGACCAATCTGCAAAAAAATACATTTCTGTTGCCTTTAAACTAATTGAATATAAATAGCTTGAATAAATGAAAACAATGGAATGAAATGTCATTATAACTGAACACAAAAATATGTTTATTTCTGTACAATACTTGTGAGGGGAGGAAGTACAGAAGTGGATGTATTTAGATATTTGGGAGTGGACACCTCAGCAGATGGATCTACGAAAGAAGACGTGAACCATAAAATAGATGGACAAAAGCGAGTTTTCTGTTGAATTATCTGTGAAGAGAAAAGTTTATCTATGGAGGCAAGAAAGGAAATGTACCAGAGTATAGTGGTGTCAACACTTTTTTTTTATATGGGTGTGAAGCATGGGTTTTGAATGCTGCTGTGAAAAAGAGGCCAGAGGCAGCAGAGATGTGATATTTGAGAGCAATTTGTGGTGTTATCATCATACAGAGAATTCAGAGAAATTAAAAAGCAATGTGGGATTACCAAGGGTATAACTCAGAGGGCTGAGGAGGGGTTGCTGAGGTGGTGTGGGTATTATAGAGCATACTCAGTACAACAGCTTCTGGCACTGCTTCCACCCATTCACCATCCATGGTCCCAACATGCCTCGGGCACCAACAGAGCTCCACTTCTTCATGCCTGGCCTGGATGCGAGGAAATAATTCTCGGATCTTTGCTAAAAAACAAAAATGCTAAAAAACAAAAGTCAAGCTAAAAAGCTTACCTGAAGTTCCTCGTATGCAGCAAAGGATAACTCTGACTTTTGTTCCAAAGTCCTTCTCTCCACGTGACAGACCCTTCAGGACAGCATTTAAGATCAAATCCACAGTCACCTCATCATTAATGGAATCTGAAATCCATATTTACTAATTATTACCAATTACCAGTTTCTTTACTATAGTGATGCACTACTTGTCCAAAACTAAAACACTAAGGTTTTTAAAAAGAAGACAGTTCTTTATATTATTATTACAACCAAAACCAACTGCTAAACCCACCAGGGTCATACAGACAGTTCTTTATAAACAGACAGAATAAACAATATCCTTCTGATTTATACTCAGAACTTGCCTCCATTATTCCCATCCAGAGTACCATTTAGACGTGCTGGTGTACCATTTGACAAGAAGCTGGGTTGACTTGGTTCATTCAGGAGAAGGTGGGGACTGAATCTGGTTTCACAATAGGCAACAGAATCTTTGGCTTGATCTTCTACAAATTCATAAGCTATTCTTTCTATGACGGCAAGGTCTCTTCTGCAGAATATCATGAATTTAAAATGAGAAATCTTGTATACTATTTTATGTATATGTGCTACATCCAGTGTTGAATCATCCACAGAAATTTAAGGAATGAAGCAAATGTATTAAGCTGAACAGGCAACTAATTTATTTTTGATGAAAGAACCAGTACCTTCAGTATCTATAGTAAACTGCCAAAGTACACAGAAAATTGTAACTTTTACTCTGGATTCACAGAATTTACTAGAAAATACATTGGAGAGTACAGTGGACCCTCGACCAATGATGGCATCGTCTAACGTTAAATCCGACTAGCGATACATTTTAACGCAAAAATTTTGCCTCAACTAGTGCTAAAAAACTCGACCAACACGATTCGTTCCGTTCGAGACGCTTCCACTTGTGGCCTGAGCGCGCCACTGTTTACAAGTCAGCCAGCCACCGCGGTCCCATCCAAACATACAATCGGAACATTTCATATTATCACAGCATTTTTAGTGATCACCTGCAAAATAAGTCACCATGAGCCCCAAGAAAGCTTCTAGTGCCAACCCTACAGCAAAAAGGGTGAGAATTACTATGGATATGAAGAAAGAGATCATTGCTAAGTATGAAAGTGGAGTGCGTGTCTCCGAGCTGGCCAGGTTGTACACAAAACCCCAATCAACCATCGCTACTATTGTGGCCAAGAAAACGGCACTCAAGGAAGTTGTTCTTCCCAAAGGTGCAACTATGTTTTCGAAACTGAGATCGCAAGTGATAGAAGATGTTGAGAGACTGTTATTGGTGTGGATAAACAAAAAACAGATAGCAGGAGATAGCATCTCTCAAGTGATCATATGTGAAAAGGCTAGGAAGTTGCATGACGATTTAACCCTTTGACTGTCGCGGCTGTATATATACGTCTTACGAGGTACAGTGTTTGACGTATATATACTCATAAATTCTAGTGGCTTCAGATCAAGCAGGAGAAAGCTGGTAGGCCAACATGTGAGAGAATGGGTCGGTGTGGTCAGTGTGCACCATATAAAAAAAATCCTGGAGCACGCAGTGCATAATGAGAAAAAAAAAATTCCGACCATTTTTTTAATTAAAATGCCGACTTTGTGGTCTATTTTCGTATAGTATTTATGGTTGTATTCTCTTTTTCTTGGTCTCATTTGATAGAATGGAAAACATAATATAGAAATTGAGGTGATTTTGATTGATTTTACTATAAAAAGAACCTGGAAATGGAGCTCAAAGTAGGGGAAAATGTTTGATTTTTGCCAATGTTCAAAAGTAAACAAATGATGTTCATTGTTCAATAAATGTCCAACTAGCCAATCTAATATGCAGTCATGAATGGGTTTTATGTTATTTATACAATTATTACAGTATTGCAGTAGTCTGCATAATAGTAAGTCTTTTATTTTTTGTTTGAATAAAAATTCAAAATAGAAAGCAAGATTTAAAATCAGAGGGGCCTGGAGACATGACTGATGAACAAAGAAAATGTTATTTTAGAGCCAGGAATGTCTGCATTGTTCATTCTGGACCTTATTTTGAAATTGTCATATTTTTTAATTTTCGTGAAATTGGCCAAATTTCAAATTTCTGACCACATTATTGGGTAGCTGAAATCAGTAAATGGGCAGTTTCTTGTACTCAATCGATAGAAAAAATGGAGTTCTAAAGAAATAGCTATGAGTTTGGAAACTCCCAGAGTGTTCAGGAAAACAATGTCCTCAAGGACTTGACACCTCAAGTCCTAATGGAAGGGGAATCCCCTTCTAAACACTAACACCATCCACACTCTCCCCTCCTCCCATCCCATCAATCATCACCAGATCTTCAATAAAGGTAAGTGTCATGTAATTGTACATGTCTTCTTCAGTTTGTGTGTATTAAAATTAATATTTCATGTGGCAAAAATTTTTGTTTTTCAATACTTTGGGGTGTCAGGAACGGATTAATTTGATTTCCATTATTCCTTATGGGGAAAATTAACTCGACTAACAATAATTTCGACTAACAATGAGCTCTCAGGAATGGATTAATATCGTTGGTCGAGAGTCCACTGTAATTCTTATGAATGGTGTGGTAAAATCCTGCATGTTGAAAAGTCATAAAAATCAGTAAGGACTACTGCATACTTACACAATGGCAGGCAAAAAAATTTGAAAGCCTCCAAGAAAGCACACAAGATCTTTTGGTTCCTGCACCTGAACTGCTGCCTTGAAGTCTGCAAGAGAGCCACTGCCAGGAAGCCTCATTCCCTTATATCTGAGGAATGAACAGTTTCATATATGTACATATACAGTATATAAGGCCTTGACTGATGAAAGGCTAGAAAGGTAAAAAGGGATGATTAATAACATAAAAAACAGGATACTTTAACTGCATCTAATAGGAAAAACACTTACAAATACCTCCAACAGGATATTATTAACAATTGTATTGTATGTTTACATCTCCCAGACATCATCACAATACACCCTATGGAAAATAATGCTACACAGATGGCAGACATGGCAGCTGGGACAGCAACAGACTGGTGAGGGTTTGCCCAAGTGACTAGTGGGGTGTCACACCACTCTCTCTTTATTGGCTGTCAGCTTGGTCCTCTGTGGGTGGTTGTCGTTTAAAAGCTAGAATCAGAGTGGTAACCTAAGTTTCCAGGTCAGCTCCAAGCTAATCTGGAAACTGGCCAGCTTGGAGCAAACACTAAGCTGGCCAGAAGTCAGGATGAAGTCACCTGTGAAAAAATAGTACCAGTCAGCCAACTAACAAGAAAGGACAGCAATGGAGAAAGCACCAAAAATCTAGTTAACTAGCACCTTGTGAAGAGTGTAATATAAATGGAATACAGTGACAGCATAGTGGATTATCATGACAGCAGTGACAAAGAACAGTATCAATATCGATCAGAGTACAGTGAAGGGAATATTTTCTCATTAACAGAAATGAAAACATTTATGTAGATATTTGGGAATGGGCATATCAGTAGATGAAAGAAGAGGGAAAAAAGAAAACAGGAGTGCTTTGAGGTAATGTATCTGAAAAGTTTATCTATGGAGGTAAAAACAATTATGTACCAGACCACACTGTTACCAACACTTTACATGGGTGTGAGCCAAGGTCTTTAAATGTTGAAGTGAGGAGGAAGAGGCAGAAGGCAAGTTAAATATGTATCTTTTACTATGTGCCCCATACCCATCCTGTGGGCAGTAGTCAAAAGATTACAAAGGCACATAATGGATCACGGGACTGGGCCACAAAGTTTTAATAGCTGAAAAAGTTACAGTGGTAATGAACTACAGTGGACCCTCGGCTAACGAACGCATCGCATAACATTATATCCGCCCAACGAAGCGTTTGAGTGTAAAAATTTTGGCCTGGCTAACGATAAAAAACTTACCCAATGTGATTCGTCCCGAACCTGTCCATCCAGCCTGAGCGCCTCAGCTGCCCTGCCATCATTGTTTACAAGCCAGGGTGGCCGGTTTCATGCATGCATTCGATACATTTTGTATTATTAGTGCTTGTAACTGCTAAATAAGCCACCATGGGCCCAAAGAAAGCTTCTAGTGCCAACCCTGTGGTAAAAAGGGTGAGTAATACTATCGTACCACGGTCAGCTGCTGCTGCACCACCATCAGCTGTTGCTACACCACCATCAACTGTACTACTCGAAGATGTGGAGAGACTGTTGTTGGTGTGGCTTAACGAGAAACAATTACTGAGAAACAATTAACCCCAGAGGGTTAACCACCCAGGATAACCCAAGAAAGTCAGTGAGTCATTGAGGACTGTCTAACTTATTTTAATTGGGGTCCTTAATCTTGTCCCCCAGGATGCAACCCACACCAGTTGACTAACACCCAGGTGAACAGGAAAAAATGGAATACTTTTAGAGATAAGATAATTTTTAAGTATAACTCTAAATTGATTTGCAAGTAAGGGATCTTTTGCTGGTTCAGGTAATGAATTCTAGATCTTAGGGCCCTTTATGTGTGTTGCATTTCTACATGTAGGAGACGGACACAAGGGTTTTTTTTTTTTTTTGAAGAATGTCAAAGTCTGTTTTGTGCCTTGTGTTATGCCTTTGTGTTCTGATGTAGCTATCAAGGAAAAGTCTGAGGAGGAGGATTTATATTAGTTTAATGTTCTGTACATATATAGTAGGAACTAGTGCTCATATTGGTGAATTTGGAACTAGTGCTTATATTGGTGAATTTAAGGCCAGCAAACGTTGGTTTGAGAGATTTAAGAATCATAGTGGCATACACAGTGTGATAAGGCATGGCGAAGCTGAAAAATTCCAACCTCAACAAGTGTTCAGTTGTGATGAAACAGCCCTGTTCTGGAAGAAAATGCCAAACAGGACCTACATTACTCAGGAGGAAAAAGCACTCCCAGGACACAAGCCTATGAAAGACAGGCTAACTTTCTTGTTTTGTTGTAATGTTTCTGGGAATTGCAAAGTGAAGCCTTTACTCATGTATCACTCTGAAAATCCCAGAATGTTCAAGAAAAACAGTGTCTCATCACTCATCAATACTCTTCAATAAAGGTAAGTGTCATTTTAACATTTATTTATATAGTTATTATGCATGTCTCATTGTTTTCTTCATAGGGAAATGTACATTTCAGGAAAAAAAATTATTTTTTTTAATACTTTTGGCTGTCTGGAACAGATTAATTGGATTTCCATTATTTCTTATGGCGAAAATTAATTCAGCTAACGATAATTTTGTCTAACGATGAGTTCTCAGGAATGGATTAATATCGTTAGCCGAGGGTCCACTGTACTTACATGTTTATATCTGGTCACAATGGCAATGAGCTACTTAAGCAGACATGAATTAGGTCATACACACACAATGTTTTATCTACAATGAGGAAAGTCAAAGTATTTTTCCAAAATGGTTTGTAAAGTACGTACCACCATGGATAAAATACTTTGACATTTCTTGAACATTTCTCAGTGATGCAGGTAGTGGTAGAGATCATCACATGAAGGGTTTAAGCAGTGGCAGCTCATAGCTAAAATTAGTGGAGGTGCTGCTTCAGAAAATTTTTAGCCATTGCTTTAATACTGTGTAAAACGAAAACCGTCTCTTGTCCACGTTACATCACCTCCAAACAGCAAACATGGGAAGCAAAACAATGCATTTTTACTTCACAGCCGCAAAGCCAACTTTTCCATTGGTACCATTCAGAATTAAAGCTACGAATATACTTCTTGTTGTCGCTTATTCCTGGCTGAGATATTTGAATATCAGGTGTTGAACAGCCTCTTTTCTTAACTAACTTTCTCATGGAGAGACAACTGTGAAAACTTAAGCTGTTGAAGTTCACTTACAGTCACAGAACTTATTTCTTGGGGGTGCAAGAAGGTCATGATTAAATTAATTACATTTTCTGTACAATAAAAGAACTGAAAAAACTATGAATTAAATAAAACAGCTGTAAGCATGATAATCATCTAATTCTACACTTCATCACATTCAAGAATATGGTACATGGTTTTTAAACACAACACACATTGCTGAGTCAAAAAGAAACACTACCTTACACTTGTACAACAGGGTCAGCACTGTGTCAACAACAATGCTTTCTCTACCTAGTGTGCAGCGTCCTATCTCAGACATGTGCGCATGCGCACAACAGCCAAACACTAAGCCGCTGGAACTATGAAGCGCACAGTTTTATACATGGATTTTTGTAATTTTTTCATGTACTAGGGGATGGCTACTGACATTAAGCTTAAGGATTATATGTATAATGTACAGTGGAACCTTGGCATACGACCTTAATTCATTCCAGAAGGCTGTTCGAGTGCTGCTCTGTTTGAGTATCGAACAAGTTCTTCCCAACCATTTTCTGTTTGGCTGGCCCCATGGTGACTTATTTATTAAAAAAAAGCACCAAAAAATGCGAAGAAACACGAAATAGTTTACAGCAAAGTTCTGGCAGGTCGTATTTGTTTGGTCGAGTGCTGAGCTTTGTTCGAGTAGGGAGCTGGTCATATACTGAGGTTCCACTGTGCAAGTACTATAAGGAAAGAATTAAAGAAAAAAAGACTCGTTATATTGAATGATATCGTTAATATCAAGTGAAAATAGGGGGTGCTGCAGTTCCGCAGTGCCTATACACGAGCTGCCACTGGGTTTAAGAAAGGGGGATGTGAGAGGTACAGGCTTTATTATCCTGCAAGAACGTATGAGCATGTTACAGTGGAGGTACTGGAAACAAATGATTTCTAGGGTTTGATGTGCTATTGGAGTGTGAGCAAAGCAACATTTGTAAAGAAATTCAGAAGAAAACAGTTAGCTGACCTCGAGTTCTGGATGTTGAAAGAACAGTGCCTTCATGCTGAAAGGGAGGTGAGAATGTTGCTGTTCAGAGTGTCTTCTGTACTATGATGACCACACACTTCTGGCAAACCAGCTTTTGAAGGAATCATGGTGAATGAGCTTTACCCTACTTTGGTGGGAGACAGCAGATATAGTGAAGAAATAACTGCAACGTACAACGTATAAGAACATAAGAAAGAAGGAACACTGCAGCAGGCCTACTGGTCTATGCGAGGCAGGTCCAAGTCACCTCCCGGCTTAAATCAATGACCTACCTAGTCAGGTCAGGTCACATCCGCTTAAGGAAGGAGCATGGCATCAGACCTGTTCCTGCCCTACAACCTCCATCCCTACCTTGCAACCTCCATCCCTGCCTTGCAACCTTCATCCCTGCCCTACAACCTTCGTCCCTGCCCTACAACCCACGTCCCTGCCCTACAACCTACATCTCTGCCTTGCAACCTACGCCCCTGCCTTGTAACCTCCATCCCTGCCCTACAACCTCCGTCCCTACCTTGCAACTTGTCCCTACCCTACAACTTCCGTCCCTGCCTTGCAACTTGTCCCTACCCTACAACCTCCGTCCCTGCCTTGCAACTTGTCCCTACCCTACAACCTCCATCCCTGCCCTGCAACTTGTCCCTACCCTACAACCTCCATCCCTGCCTTGCAACCTATGTCTCTGCCTTGTAACCTACTTCCCTGCCCTACAACTTTCAGCCCTGCCCTCCAACCGTGCCCGACACCCTCTGTCCCTCCCGCGTCACCCTTCCCCCTGCCTGTCCTGCAACTCAGCCAGTCACTACAAATATAAATTTTATTCCTTTGCAAAGGTTACAATGTGTGATTTACATTCTATAAAGTGTTGTTAAGTGCAAAGAAAGCCACTAACATGCCGGGACATTTCAGCCAGATTAATCCTAA